ATGATCATCATCATGTTGTCTTTGGTTTATCCATGAAGGGTGCCATGGTATGAGATGTTAACTATCTTGCCTGGTATACAGGAGGTGGTGGGTTCGATCCCGGCCATGATGCCGGTATATTTGGAGTTTGCGTGTCTCTCCCCGTGATCACTTTTTCCGGGTCATCTGGTATTTTCCTCCACATTTAGAAAATGCGTTGAAAGTATTTGGCCACTATAAATTTCCACACGATGGTCAGCCACTTCGTTGAGCTATCATTTGTGGCCAGGTCGCTTCTGAAAAAGAGCCACATAGCTCAGTGGGGGCCCTACCTTGTAAAATAAAATAAAATCAAGAAATTGGTAAGTCCGTGGTGCCGTGGCACAATGAATGACCACACTGGACCTGCAATCCAGAGGTCAACTGGTTCAATCTCCCGGCACGGCACTTGAAGCAATGGTGCAAGTTGATTAAATCCCCTATCCACCTGGGCCAGCGTGGAAGAGTAGGCCAAGTTTCCTCGAGAGGCACTCTCTAAAGCCACCGCCTGTTGGTGGGGCCGATCCGCCAACAGTGGGCGTGGGTAAGACGTTGCAGGGCTGCGCCTTTATCCTCGCCTACGACGCCTCGATGGACGTCGGGACTCTCAGGAGGGTCACGCTACATTGGGATGTTCGGCCACGACTATCGATGCGAGCTCGGCACCGTCGTGTTTCATCGTCGGTGCCGCCGTCCGCAGGAGGTCACCATGGCGAGAGTTTACGCCACACCTCCGATAAGCAATGGTTGGCTACGTACGGTGCGAAAGAAGTTCAACAGACGTTCGTACACCACCAGAGCCCTCAGCTAAGTGGGCCGCGCCACGCGGCGCTGTAGAGCAGTACATCGCGATCGCTAAACGAGGGCGATCACACGCCACGAGCTCCCCGCACAGATGGATTCGACGCATCCACGTGTGCACAGCAACAGCGCTTCAGTGGTGGTGACAGGCACAGGCGGCGGCCCGGTTACTGATGGCGATGAAGATGATGATGATGATGGATGGTTCTTTTTGTATCGTTTGTTGTAACTTTCTGACCCGCCCCTGCTGGGCGTCTGTTAAAAAGAGCTCCACAGATCATCGGATTTCTCCAGTCTCAATCAAGATTCTCATGGTTCTGTGAGGGCTACAGGGGCACAGTGCGATTGGTTGTTAGAAGGAGACAAACCTCCTCACCCACCACATGGCCACCCCCTGCTACCGCCTCCCCCATGACCCATCGTGACCCTCCCCCCTGTTGTGCCAAACTTCTCATCACGCACCCCACACCACCACCACCACCACCCCCTTCGTCAGAACACTCCGGCCTCACACTCCGGGGGATTAACGTCGCTTCATTAAGCGTTTTCAAACCCTCTGCCGCCTCTCTCGTGCCCCCCCCTCGCCGCCTTCTGTGTGTCCCTCGATCTCGGCGTCTTTTCACCGCGTGCCAGGGCAGGAGCAAGGCTCTCGCCCTCCTGCACATGACAAAGGGGGACCCCGACTCTTTTCCTTCGTAAGGGAATTCATTCTGTGGTGGTGGTAGGTGGTGATGCTGATTTTGCCAGTACTGTAGTAAAAAAAATGAAATAGCTCTAAAAGAAAACTAAAACACAACACCGGTCTTGGGCTTCCGCTAGGTCGACTCGGCCTCAAATGAGTACCCGGCGCGGTGTGTAAACATCAGCATTAGGGAGACAAAGGCGGCCCGGCGTGGAATTACTCACCCCACCACCTCGAGTGTCGTGTCGGCCTTCATAGGCGCTCGCTAACAGCACTGCGTGTGATTGTGTATACGCATGTGCACATACACGCATGCACACGCACGCCCCGTGAAGATGCGTACGTAACAAACAAAAACTTCCCCACCTTCGTGACTGGCGTTTACATATTTGTTTACACTTCATTTTTTTATTTGCTGCAGGTTATGCATTCCTTCGGCCACCACAAAGTGTGTGAGTGTGGCCTCAGACTGTGAGTGCTTCACCACCCACTGTGAGTGTTTCACAACCACAGACTGGGAGTGTTTCACCACCACAGTGTGTGACTTCAGACTGTGAGTGTTTCACCACCACTATGAGTGTTTCACAACCACAGACTGTGAGTGTTTCACCACCACAGTGTGTGACTTCAGACTGTGAGTGTTTCACAACCACAGACTGGGAGTGTTTCACCACCACTGTGAGTGTTTCACCACCACAGACTGTGTGTGTGACTTCAGGGCCAAAGGGCGCACACAGCGATGAGTTATAAAACAAAAAGCTCAGGGGGTTGGGGGGGAGGATGAGGGGGGTGGGGTGGAGGGTGACATAAAGGAGGGAGGGGGGAGGGGAATGTAGGAGGGGGGAAAACCAAATCGTAACCCCCCAACCCCCACCCCCAAGTTAAACAAGAGACAGGTGCTGACCACAAACACGATCTCCAGGGCAGGCAGGCAGGCCAGTTGTTCATTCCGTCAGTGTGCAGCGAAAGTCGCGTGAAGCGATGACCTGCTCGAAAGTGCCCTGAACCAGGGGTGGACACTCGGCATTGCCATGGCGGGGACGAGTCTCTCCACAAGACACCCGCTGTTGACTCACCCCCCCCCCCATCCTCCACGTCCCCACACATTGTGGTGCCCATTTTATCGACCCCCCCCCCCGTACGGAACGATGGGCTGAGTCAACCCTCCAACCAGGCCACGTGAGACTCGACAACGCCGTGTCCGCACCTCCCGCTTAGCGCGGTGGGCTGCGTAGGACGCGAAAGAAGTTCGACGGGCAAAGCGGCACACACCGCACGGATGAGAGAGAGACGGAGAGATGGGGAGAGAGACGCTGGGCAACCGCCACCGTGATTGTTGCCAAGAGTCGGCTTCGACGTTGCTCTCCCACCCCCACGCAACCCCCACGCGTTTGTCGCGTCCTGCCCGTGATGTGTTCCTTTATGCCGCTCGCCACCCCCTGCACCGCTTTTATTCTCCTCCGTGCTCTTCCTAGTGGCCACCACCACCACTACCACCACCACTACCACCATCACTACCAACCACCCTCCTCCTCCTCTCCTCCCGCCTGAGCAAACAAAAGGGAGACAGATTTACGTGGAGCTCTGATATTTCACACCCCAGGGGATGGAGAGGTCACGGGTCACTTGGGTCGGTCCCCAAAGCTCTGCGCTCTCCCTCCCCCCACACACCTCCCACCACCCCCACTCCCCACCACACAATCAACAAACTAAAAAACTAAACTGTTTTTATTTTACAAGGTAATGCACACTGGCGCCGTAGGAGATATTTTTCGGAAGCGACGTGGCCACAAATAATAGCTCCACGGAGTGGCTTGTCATCATCATCACGTGGGAGTTTGTCGTAGCCAAACACTCGCGATGTTGATTCTAAATGTGGACGGGGAAAAAACGGAGGGCCCGGAAAGAACAAAAAATATCCACGCGACCACGGGGAGAGGGACACGCAAACTCCAAATATTCCTGCGTAACAGGCGAGGTAGTTAACATCTCACCGCACGTGTGATCACATTTCAATCACTTTATTGGCACCTCGGGCACATTCAGCATCTTTCCAAGAACTTACAGAAAATAAAAACTCTGCCTCTGAGAAGTGCATCATGGCCGTTTTGTTAGTCAATTCTGAACCAGTTCCTCGCCCCCTCTTACCGTGGTGATGCGCTACATCCAGCAGTGGATCGACCAAGGCCCTAACAAAACAAAAGACACATAAACAAACGCTAAAGATTGGTGTAAAAAAACAACAGGACAAATATGAGAACGTAGATTCCTCTCGGTGACCTTGTGAAAGACACGGTACCCGCACAGGAGCAGCTCACAAAACCTTATCACAGTAAACCTTTTTACACGAACGCGTTAAGTACAACTTTTTACTACTGGCCCTGGTGAATTCAAGTGAGGAGGAGGCTCGCTTACGTGACCGGTTTGCCCAGCTTGCCCTGCAGTGTATTTTGGGAGTTTTGCCGTGGGACCTGCGGACCTGCGGCATCTGTGACCCGTTCCACGTTCGTGACGAGAATTGTCTTTGTGTGTTTTTGCGCTGATCAGAAGTCGAGGCGAATGGACAGCCAGTTTTTGTTTTTTTTATGGTGAGAGGGGAGTTGGATGTGGGGGAGTGGGGGTTGGTAATTTTGTGTTTGTGAAAGCTTCCCTCTTCCTCATTCCTTTCATCCAGTGTGTGTGGGGTGGGGGTCTTTTTCCGTTCCCCGCAGCCGTCCAAGTGCAGAAATGGATCGTTAGTAAGTTGTGATTGCGTCGTGAGGAAATTAAATGTCTCTCCTCTTATTCAGCGATAACGATGAGTGGGTGAGATACCACTGCTGCCCGCCAATACCACTCACTACCACCATCATCATCAGCTCCACCGCTTTCACCATCATCACCACCAACGTCCACCACGACCACCGTCATCACCACCACCATCCCCACCACTACCACCATCATCACGACCACCAATACCAATCACGACCATCATCACCACCACCATCACCACCACCACTACCACTTTCATCACCACCACCACCACTATCACCACCACTATCACTCACTACCACCATCATCACCACCACCATCACCATAAGTACATTCATCACTACCATTGGCACTATTCTTTCAGCTGCCTTGCCAGGACATTGAGCCAGCTCACCCCACGTCACCCCACGGCAGACTTGGGCGAAGTAGAACGTGTCGACTAAATGAACATTGCCGCGTGGTGCAGCCGCCCGAGTTCGAGTCCCGCTCACAGCCCACACCGGTGACGAATATCCGAACCGGTCCTGGACCTCCCCTGGGTCGACTCGGCCTCGAGCGAGCACAGCACCTGGCTGTGATGCGTAAACATCGCCACCGGGGAAACGAAGGCGGCCAGAGACGATTTCCGGCCGCCCCCTCGAATCGGTGCACCGTAGCGCCCTTCGCAAGGCGCCCGCGAACAGCCCTTGCCCCGACGGCCTGCTGAAGGCTACGCGGGTGATCTTTGTGTTTGTGTTTGCGCGAGCAGGCGAGGGCCTGGACGGAGTGCTGCGTGGGGGAGCGGTGAGGGCACAGCAGGACGCCCCCACGCCAGCGCCGGACCACGTCCTGGGCTCCCTGTGGTGCCTCTGCTCGCACCATTGCCCCGAGAGCAACGTCAACGGCACCTGCCGGTACGCAGAGCCTCGCTTGGCACACGCTCACCACGCGCTCGCCACGCTCACCACGCGCTCGCCACGCTCACCACGCGCTCGCCACGCTCACCACGCGCTCGCCACGCTCACCACGCGCTCGCCACGCTCACCACGCGCTCGCCACGCTCACCACGTGCTCGCCACGCTCACCACGCGCTCACCACGTGCTCACCATCGCTCACCACGTGCTCGCCACGCTTACCACGTGCTCACCACGTGCTCACCACGTGCTCACCACACGCTCACCACGTGCTCGCCATCGCTCACCACGTGCTCACCACACGCTCACCACGTGCTCACCACACGCTCACCACGTGCTCGCCACGCTTACCACGTGCTCACCACGTGCTCACCACGTGCTCACCACGTGCTCACCACGCGCTCGCCACGCTCACCACGCGCTCGCCACGCTCACCACGCGCTCACCACGTGCTCACCACGTGCTCACCACGCTCACCACGGGCTCGCCTTCTTCCCCACCCCACACTCACTCGTCGGACTGCCACCACCACCACTGCTACCCAAACCGCACACTCGCATGCCTACCTGGAAAACAAACGCCACCATCGGCATCACCACACTCGCAAACAGAAAGATGCCCCGTTTATCCTGTAACAGCCTGTTGTGAGGCAAGTGCTGTTAGCGAGCAGCACCTAACTTGGTGACCCGAGTTCAGGAATCAGACTCGGGCCGCCAGGTTCATAGTGCAACGTGCTAACCGCTGCACCACCACTCACCCCGCGCGTACACACAGTCACACAGTCGCGCACTCACACACGCACACACATGCGTCTATTTACAAACGCTTTGGCTGACACCTCGCAGCACAAACCGCAGGCAGCAGCCACGGCACGCACTCGCCAAACACAGCGGCCGATATCGGCGCACACAGCGAGCACCTGCCAACACGCTCTAAACATTGCGAAAGGTGAACTTTATTACGTTACTCCCCCACCCCCCCACCCCCGCCCCTAAAGCCCGGCTATTGGTCCACCCGCTCGCCCGTACGGCACGGAGGAGGCCGCGTTTGTGAGCGACCGCACCACTCGTGCGCGTCACAAGGAGGGAATTTACGGGGTTCGGAGTTCCTCGTTTGACGAGGCAGGATGTGCGTCGCTGGGGAGTAAGTTCCGCGCTCAGCGAAAAACGCACTTCGGTTGAGGAATCGCTCTTACCGAATCGCTTAAGCACGATAAACAATCGAGCAGTCCATCCCATGGCGAGACGAAGAACTGAAGGGGAATCTCGGAAAGGGCAATCGGCTCGGCGTTCATTGTATTTAGGGAGGCGTAGTAGCGCCGTTGTTTTTAAAGACATCGCTCACCGCAGAGAACCGTCGCTACACGACCACCGCACACCTACGGTAGCTGGCGCCAAACTGTGCCACACGCCCTCCCGCGTGCCCTGGTGTGAGCCTCGGTACCGATGAAGTTCTTTTATTTGTACTTTTTCTCCCGGTTCCGTACACGCACGTCATCACAACTCGGAGCCTTCACGCGCATCGCATCGCATCTCCACCAATCCAATGCCCTCGCTGCCGCCTCTCCCAAGGGGGACCGCCAGGGGCAGCGAGTGTACATGCGCACGTGCGTCGAACTTCTTTCGCACCGTACGTAGCCAACCACCGTGCCAATCGGAGCGCTACCCCACACACGCCCTGCTGCATAGAGGGGCGTCCATCACACGGAAATCCTGCAATGGATTTTCTCAAAATAATTTCCCCCCCGACCCCCCGCCGATTTGTCTCCTTGCGTGCGCTGCCCAGCGCGGAAGCAGTGCTGGGCGACGTCGTGTTAGGGAACGGTGCGCGGAATCCGGATACCACGGAGCTATCTCCCAGATCCGTTGGAGTCGACTCGGTTCCACACCGTAGGGGGCAGATGGGAGGGCAGCACTTTGGCGCCCGAAAGTGAAATCCGCTCGTTCTTCTCGTTCTTCTCGTTCGTTGGAACAAAACTGAAACAGGACCAACGGGCAGTGCTTCACGATCATCGAGGAGGATGAGTCGGGCGACGTGGTGGTGACTTCGGGCTGCGTGCAGAAGGAAGGCTCCGACTTCCAGTGCCGGGTGAGAGCAACCGCCCACCCACACTGCCGCCCGCTCGCCACGATCTATTCCCCTCCTGCTTCTCTTCCTCCTCCTCTTCCTCCTCCGTCTTCTTCCGTCGTACGGATATAGCGACGTCAAAGCCTTTGAATGATCCCGTCGAGAACATCGTCGCGTGCGGGCGATGAACGTTTCCCGCCGGCCGTCGTCAACGCGTGAGCTCGAGACGCGCGACATCGCTCGGCAACGGCTTCACCCGCCGTCCGTGCCGACCCCGTCGACGCCGCCGGACGTCAGGAGGCGCGTCGCAGAACTGTGTCGGTCACTGGTCGAGCTTGCTGCCGCCTCTGTCCCGGACAAAAGGGACCGATGATGTGGGCGGCACGTTGGCAAGATGCTCTATTTAAGACCGGGAGCCAGAGCAGAGCCTCACCATTCTGGCGAATTGCCCGATGATGCTGGATGCAATTACCAGCGAAACGTCGTACTCATAAATTGTAAATGTTGTGGTTTCAAGCTTCAACACACTGGTGGGCTAAAGCAGTGAACTATTTTGTCTTTTGTCAACGTGACACTTTTTTACTGATTGGACCGTGTCGGGTGGTGGAGGGTTACGACACATTTATAAATAACGCGATCTAAACCCAAAAACGTTGACTATGAATAAGATGTTAACTACCTCACCTGGTATGCAGGAGGTTTGCATGTGCCTGTTCCAGGTGGTTGTGTGGATTTTTCTCCGGGTCCTCCGGTTTTTCCCTCCACATTTAGAATCGACATCACGCGTTCAGAGTGTTTGGCTGCTGTACATTTCAACGTGATGAGTCACTTCCGTTGAGCTATCGTTTGTGGCCAGGTGGCTTCTGACAAAAAGCTTTCTAGCTCAGTGGGCCTTGCCTGGTAAAATAAAAATAGTTTATAGTTTACTTTTAGTTGGCAATGCCGCCCACGGCCGGTTCACGTTTCGCTCGCCACAGATGTTAGCCATGTCCTGGGATTGAACTCGGGTCGCTTGGTTTAAAGCACGGTGCGTCACTGTTTCCATGCCATAAAAAAACTGTTCCACCACTTTCATACTTCCCAAGTCGATAATTATATTAGTTTTAATCCACACTGCTGTTTACTTAAGAACCTCCCAACTGACTGCTAAAGCCGCTCCTTTTCGCCAGTTTCAAGAACCCAGGGGGGAAAAACTTTCAAGACGAAAAAAATCATTCGGCAGCCACCATAACAACGCTGACATTTGTCCGAACAGGATATCGCGACAGTTCACTGAGACGCACCTGCTTCTCGGGATAGAGGCAATCGAGATATCAGATATGGCGCCTTGTGATGAATGCATTTATTTATTTCTACGTTTGTCGTCCCACTCTCCCCTTCGTACGTTCACCGGGGTTTATTTGCACGTGGCCTGCTGTAAAAAAAAATCTCACTGCAAACACACGGGGGGTGGGGAGGGGGAGGTCGTGGGGGGTACGGTGGTTAATCACAGCAGCCCACCACACAAACATTTGCATTAGCGATGGGCTCCGGATAGCGAGAGTCACGCAGCACCTGTAAAGCGAGGAGGGCCCCCCCTCCCATCCCCACTTGCCCCCCCCCCCCTCCTCCTCCTCCATGCTTGCCCCCGGATTTCTGCAACCGGGCGAGCCAAGTGACGTCAGCGGCCGTCGTCGTAAATTCCTGCGGCCGTCAATCGGATTCGTTTGTCCGCGCGGACGCTGACGCCACTCTTCCAACGGTGGAATCGCTCCGCTCGCTCTCGCCCGGCCGCCTGTCCACTCGAACGCCGACCCACGCTGTCCTGCCGATCGTTTGGCGCGGCGCGCTTCTTGCAGGATCGTGGCTCTTTGTTTTGAGTTCTTCTTGGTTCTTTCGGTAAAGTCACGTAGAAGGGAAATAATAAAATAATAAAAATAAAACATAATAAAAGAAGAAATATTATAATATATTTATTTTATTATGTTTTATGTTTATTATTTTAAAATAATATATATTTATTTTATTACGTTGAATTTTTATTATTTTATTATTTCCCTTCTACGTGACTTTACCAAAATAATAAAATAATAAAAATAAAACATAATAAAAAAATATACTATATTATTTTATGTTTTATTTTTATTATTTTATTATTTCCCTTCTACGTGACTTTACCGAAATAATAAAATACAAAAATAAATAACATAATAAAATAAATATATTATTTTCTTTATACTTTATAAATGTATTATGTTTTATTATTGTATTATTTCCCTTCTACGTGACTTTACCGAAAGAACCAAGAAGATGAATCCCTGCAGTCACGAAAGCTTTAAATCGAAATTTTGTTTTTAGTTGTTTCTTGGAAAAATATATAATGCTTTCCGGCCAGAGTTGAAACCGATAATGCACGAGGCCCCTGTCCGTCAAAGGTTATCCGACGTAAAGTGAAATCTTAAGTGTAAACTTGCACTTAGAATTGGCGGCTTGCCCTATAATAATCATAATAAACTCGGCCGGATTTATCGAAGGGTCGTCCAAAATTTGGCGAAAAAAAATATAAAATGAATTCTTCAGTGTAAAGTTGCACTGCTAATTCGCGACTCATCCAACAATGAACCCGGCTGAATTTATCGAAGGGTGATCCGAAACTCGGCGATTTAAAATACCGTCGCTGATTAGAAAAGCCTTCTCGGCCAATGTGGTGACGTCACACGCCGGCGCCGAAAGGACTCGTACGACGACGTTACGTACTCTGCATTGAACGTCTTTCGCACCGTTGCGTAGCCAGCCGCGCCAATCGGAAGGTGCGGGAAAAGCAGCGCTCACGTCAGCTCTCCCCTCCCTGTGACGTCGCTGTGACGTCACTCTGACGTCGCTATGACGTTGCCGTGACGTCGTCTCATCGCCCGGCTCGACGCGTGGTGTTGTCGTCGCTAATTTCACGCTCTCCGGGACAAAACGCGCGATGGAACAGCCTTCCAGAATCCACGCGCATCCACGACTTTCTCTTCCGTGTTTACGAACGTAAACGCGTGACGTTTTTATTTCGCGTGACCTTCGATCAACAGCTGCACTGTTAGTGTTGCTGAAATGATGAAACGTTTCATTGTTTAGTTTAGTTTTATGTTTATATGTATACGTGGCGTCGTTCATGCGAGTGGCATCTCACCATCGCCGAGCGATCGTAGACGAGCTGGAAGGCTGCGAGACGGTGAGCTCTGCAGTCCTCCATATATCAAGATGTTTTCAGCCAATAGATTAGTTCATACGTGTGGGCGGAAAAGGGGGAGAACCGGGAGAAACCCCACATGTGGCAGGGAGTAACGCTCTGTCCCGTTGCAAAAGGGACGGATGATATGGGCAGTACGGTGGCGAGATGTTAACTACCTCGCCTGGTATACAGGAGGTCGTGGGTTCGAACCAGACCCTGACGCCTGCTGCTGTATATTTGGAGTTTGCGTGTCTTTCTCATCATCATCATCACGGTGGCTAAGAGATGTTAACTATCTCGCTTGGTATACAGGGGGTCGTGGGTTCAATCCCGACCCCTGACGCCTGTTGCTGTATATTTGGAGTTTGCGTGTCTCTCTCCCTGTGTTTGCGTGGATTTTTCTCAGGGTTCTCCGGTTTTTCGCTTCACATTATAGAATCAACATGTATTTTGAAGTGTTTGGCTGCTATACATTTTCCACGCGATAAGCCACTTCATTGAGGTATCATTTGTGGCCAGGTCGCTTCTGAAAAAGAACTATGTAGCTCAGTGGGCCTTACCTGGGAAAATAAAAAGTTGAGTTTAGTTTGAGTTTATTCATCACAGAGGTTTTTGGGTTAGATCGCGTAAATATATAAATTTGTCGTTTAAACCCGCCACCACCCGACACAGCCCACTAGTAAGGGTTGCAAACGAAACGTCGTATTCTATTATTTATTTTATTTTATTTCTACGTGACGTTAACCGAAAGAACCAAAGAGTAATCCCTGCAGTCACGAAAGCTTCAAGTCAAGTTTGAATTTATTCTAGATTTGAAGTTTTCGTGAATGCTAGAATCCATACTCTTCGGTTCTTTCGGTAAAGTCACGTAGGTGAGAAAAAAAAGTAAATTAAATCACGACGTTTCGATTGCAACACAAGCAATCATCATCAGGCGTGACAACCACAGCAGGAATTAGTTTTTCTTTTCACCTACGTGACTTTACCGAAAGAACCAAAGAGTAAGTTTGAGTTTATCCGTCCGTACTTCGCTGTAGATATGTACCATCGCCTTATCTTATGAATTTCGCTTCGAGAACGTTGTACAAATTCTCTCTCGATTATCGCACGTCGCCGGCGAGAGCAAGCGCATGTCGCTAACCCGTGAGGCCGCTGCCGCTGCAGGACACGAAGATGGCTCGAGTTCGCCGAGCCATCGAGTGTTGCTCCGACTACAACTACTGCAACCTGGACCTCGTACCCACGCTGCCACCGCCACCCCCCCAGCCAGGTGAGGGTGTGTGTCCCTGAGCACGTGTGTGTGTCCCTGCACGTGTGTGTGTGTGTGTCTGCACGTGTGTGTGTGTGTCTGCACGTATGTGTGTGTGTCTGCACGTGTGTGTGTGTGCGTCCTGCACGTGTGTGTGTGTGTGTCCCTGCACGTGTGTGTGTCCCTGCACGTGTGTGTGTGTGTATGTCTGCACGTGTGTGTGTGTGTGTCCCTGCACGTGTGTGTGTGTCCCTGAGCACGTGTGTGTGTGTGTGTCCTGCACCGGCCCCAACGACCTGTACCCCCTCGCCCCCGGCATGCCGACCTCCACAGGCGCTCTCTTACAGTGGTGTGTGTGTGTGGGTGTGCGTGCTCGCGTGCGCATGTTGCGTGTGTGTGTGGTAGCGTAGCAGTTAGCGCTACGAGCCAGGCCACCCGAGTTCAAGTCCCGGTCACGACCACCAACATCGGTGACGATTATCTGAACCGGTCCTGGGCCTCCGCTAGGTCGACTCAGCCTCAACTGAGTGCCCAGCGCAGTGTGTAAACATTGCCACTTGGGGAGACAAAGGCGGCCGGGTGTGGTGTTGGTCACTCCACCACCTTGTGTACCCACACCTGTCAACCCCTTATCAGTGCCCTACCTTATCACAGACCAATTCAGACCTTATTGGCCATTATAAATCTCAACGTTCATCCTACAAAGACCCATCACAAGGGAGAAACAAAAACAAATAGACATTTTTACTTGCCCGCATTGAAACGGCTGCACGCCGTACAGACCTGAAAAACTCAATTTCCCTGCGCGAGAATCCGGGGTAAACCGTATGGGTTGACACGGTATGTGTACCGTGCCGGCCTTCACATCACTTGCCCCAACAGGTCTGGTTAAGGCTACACAGGTGATCTTTGTCTCTATGTGTGTGTGCGTCACGGTGTTGCAGTGGGCCTGAGCATGACTCACATGGTGATGCTGTTCACCGTCTGCCTCTGCGTCCTGGGACTACTTTCACTCTTCCTCTTCCTCTACTTCAGGTGAGAGACGGTGGGGTGCTGGGGGAGCACGGTGGGGGGGTGGGGTGGGGGGGGAGACAAAGGTGGCTGGGCAATGTTGCCGATGGGTCTCGGCCACCCCCACGGCGTGCACCGTGCAGCGGCCTTCCTCGGTGCTCGACCAATCCGTACCGCTCAGAGGGAGGTCTTTGTTTTGTTGTGTGGTGCACGCACACACGCACACACACACACGCGTGCGTGTACATGTCTAGGGGAGCGGTGGTGCAGCGGTTAGCACGCTGCACTTACCAACCCGGTGACCCGAGCTTAATTCCCCCTCCTGGTCACCAGCGCCAGTGACGACTATCTGAACCGGTCCTGAGCCTCCCCTAGATCGACTCGGCCGTAAACGAGTACCCGGTGCGGCGTGCGGTAAACATCGCCATTGGGGAGACAAAGGCGGCCTAGCGTGGTGGCTGGCCACCCAGCCCCTCGTGTGCCGTGCCAGCCGTCACAGGCACCCCTCGCTAACAGCACTTGCCCCAAGTCTGTTGAGGCTATCCGGGGGCGGAGGGATCCTTGTCATTGTGTGTGGACATTGTCGCCGCTTGACTGACTCTTAAATTAAAAATCGCTGAATGAGCCGCCTCTTGGCTAATCCGTCTGTGTGCATCATTCATTCGGCCTCCCTCTCGCGCACACGGAAGAGCGGGGGGGGGACCTGCATGATTGGGTTTCCAGTTCACATTTTTGGCCGAATAAAGGTTGTTTGGATAATCGACGTGATGGATAAGTATATATATATACCTCCGTTTACCAACGTATCTCCTAGTCGGGTGGGTGGTGAGTGGGTGGTGAGTGGTGGTGGGTGGTGAGTGGTGGTGGGTGGTGAGTGGTGGTGAGTGGTGGGTGGTGGTTGGGTGGTGATTGGTGGTGGGTGGTGAGGGGTGGGTGGTGAGGAGTAGTGGGTGGTGAGGGGTGGTGGGTGGTGAGTGGTGGTGGTGGTGGGTGGTCAGGGGTGGTGGGTGGTGAGTGGTGGGTGGTGGGAGGTGAGTGGTGGGTGGTGGTGGTGAGTGGTGGTGGTGGTGGTGGGGGTGGTCAGGGGTGGTGGGTGGTGGGTGGTGAGTGGTGGTGGGTGATGAGTGGGTGGTGAGGGGTGAGTGGTGGTGGGTGGTGAGGGGTGGGTGGTGAGGAGTAGTGGGTGGTGAGGGGTGGTGGGTGGTGAGTGGTGGTGGTGGTGGGTGGTCAGGGGTGGTGGGTGGTGAGTGGTGGGTGGTGGTGGTGAGTGGGTGGTGGTGGTGAGTGGTGGGTGGTCAGGGGTGGTGGGTGGTGGGTGGTGAGTGGTGGTGGGTGATGGGTAGTGGGTGGTGGCGAGTGGTGAGTGGTGGGGAGTGGTGAGTGATGGTGGGTGGTCAGTGGTGGTGGGTGGTGAGTGGTGGTGGGTGGTGAGTGGTGGTGGGTGGTGAGTGGTGGTGGTGGGTGGTGAGTGGTGGTGGGTGGTGGGTGGTGAGTGGTGATGGGTGGTGGGCGGTGGGTGGTGGGCGGTGAGTGGTGGTGGGCGGTAAGTCGTGGGTGGTGGTGGGTGGTGGGTGGTGAGTGGTGGTGGGTGGTGGGCGGTGGGTGTTGGGCGGTGAGTGGTGGTGGGCGGTAAGTGGTGGGTGGTGGTGGGTGGTGGGTGGTGGTGAGTGGTGAGTGGTGGGCACTGTCTCTCCGCACGTGTCCTGGAATCCAGCACTATTGCAGCAGCAGTGAGGGTTGGCGGACCACTCCACACACGAGTTGTGCACCTCCTCACACGAAGGCTGTGGATGTGCCCACGAACTGCCTTGCCAGGAATCCCACTTGAGCGATGCACTTTTCAATCTAGATTGAAAACTCATGTGTTTACAACTCATGTGTTTACAACTCACGCGATTCCAACTCACGTGTTTACAACTGCTGTTTGTGTTTAGTTTGTTGACCTTCCTCCGCACCTCCGGTTAGCACGGTTGGCTCCGTACGGTGCGAAAGATGTTCAACTTATGGGATGAACTATTTCCCTTTGCTCATGCTCTGGTTTCCTCCCACGTGTATCAACACTCATTAAACCCGTTGCCATTCCGAGACATCTGCTAGTTACAGGGCGGGTGTCCCATTCACCGCTGATTCTCGGTACGTGCCCAAGCGGTTCGGTGTCAATTTTATTTAGAGAGGCATAGTCGCGCCGCTGTTGTTAAAGACCGTGTACTCACCGCAGAGAACTGTAGTGACACGACCGCACTCTGTGATAGACGGCGACAAACTGTGCCATACGCCCCCCAGTTACGGCCTTCGCTTCTCTCCACCGCTCTTTCTTTCTCTCTCCCTCTCTCGCACTCTCTCACACCTCACTCTCTCACACCTCACTCTCTCACCCTCGCTCTCTCACCCTCGCTCTCTCACCCTCGACCTCGCACTCTCCCCGTGTCCCCGCCGTGGCTGCAGGCACAGGAAGCAGACGGAGCTGCGGCCGTACGCGCTCGACCCCGAGCAGCACGAGACGTTCATCGCACCCGGCGAGACGCTCCGCGACCTCTTCGATCAGTGCCAGAGCTCGGGCAGCGGCTCGGGGCTCCCACTGCTGGTACGTACGTGGGCATGTGTGTGTGTACGTGTGTGTGTGTGTGTAAGTGTGTATGTGTATAAGCGCGTATGTGTGTATGTACGTGTGTGTACGTGTGTGTGTACGTGTGTATGTGTGTGTGTACGTGTTGTGTGTACGTGGGGAGCGGTAACGTAGCGGTTAGCGCGCCGCGGGACGAACCTGGTAACCAGAGTTCGATTCTCGCCCACGGGCCAACATCGGTGGCAATGATCTGAGCCGGTCCTGGGCCTCCCCCCGTCCTGTAGGTCGACTGAGCCTTGATAATGATGTGTGTGCAAACGTGAGATGTTGAGGCCGGGTGTGGTGACGGCCACACCAGCACCTAATTGATGTGGACTTGCCGGAGCAAGATTGACTCTGCTGATGAGACGCCGCGTGTCGAAACTGGTCCACAGTTTGCTTGTCTTGAAACAATGCTGCAGGGGCAGAGAACTCCCAGAAGGCCGCGGGGCTGATTGGTTGCGTATTTTTTCCAATGCAACATTTTCACGTGGATAGACGGGATATGTGAAGATGTGTACGGTACTCTTATTTATTCAGATAAACCAACGTACACACAGTGCACGCGACGTTACGCACGTGCACGTACCGACGCTGTCGTACGCCACCCCCCCCCCCCCCCGCCCGCAGGTGCAGCGCACGATCGCAAAGCAGATCCAGATGGTGCGGCAGATTGGCAAGGGCCGCTACGGCGACGTGTGGATGGGGCGCTGGCGCGGGGAGAAGGTGGCCGTCAAGGTGTTCTTCACGACCGAGGAGGCCAGCTGGTTCCGCGAGACGGAGATCTATCAGACGGTGCTCATGCGGCACGACAACATCCTGGGTGAGAGGCCACGGCAGGGGTGGTGACGGCGGCTGAGAAAAGCGTTGCCGGGCGCGGCGCAAGGCGCTGGTGTCGCTTGCGCCCCATGGACAACAAAATAAACATAAAAATTTGTTCTACAGAAATTAGTTTTTTCGATCTAGATTATTTAAAAAAGTGCGTAGCTTCAGTGGATTCCTAATATCAGACGGAAGGGCGTTCCAGACGGCCGCGGAAGCGCATTTGAAAGCTCGCGATGCGGTGGCCGTCATGTCCGGCAGGGGCGGGTAAGAAAGTTACAGCTACAGCCACAGATTCGAACTTGGTAGTCTCGGTTGTGCCAGGCTCGGTGCACCTCTGACCCCTTGTAAGTCCAGTTTACTCTTGAAGTCCAGTTTTCCAACGAAGTCCAATTTGCCATGGGAGTCCAGTTTTACCATGGGAGTCCAGTTTACCACAGAAGTCCAGTTTACCACAGAAGTTCAGTTTTACCATGGAAGTCCAGTTATACCATGGGAGTCCAGTTTTACGATGGGAGTCCAGTTTTACCATGGAAGTCCAGTTTTACCATAGAAGTCCAGTTTTACCATGGGAGTCCAGTTTTACCATGGGAGTCCAGTTTTACCATGGAAGTCCAGTTTTACCATAGAAGTCCAGTTTAACCATGGGAGTCCAGTTTTACCATGGGAGTCCAGTTTTACCATGGAAGGCCAGTTTTACGATGGGAGTCCAGTTTTACCATGGAAGTCCAGTTTTACCATAGAAGTCCAGTTTTACCATGGAAGTCCAGTTTTACGATGGGAGTCCAGTTTTACCATAGAAGTCCAGTTTTACCATGGGAGTCCAGTTTTACCATGGAAGTCCAGTTTTACCATAGAAGTCCAGTTTTACCATGGGAGTCCAGTTTTACCATGGGAGTCCAGTTATACCATGGGAGTCCAGTTTTACCATAGAAGTCCAGTTTTACCATAGAAGTCCAGTTTTACCATGGGAGTCCAGTTTTACCATGGGAGTCCAGTTTTACCATGGGAGTCCAGTTTTACCATGGAAGTCCAGTTTTACTACAGCAGTCCAGTTTTACCATGGAAGTCCAGTTTTACCATGGGCAGGGGTTGGCAACCCGCGGCGCTTTTTACGGACTGCTTCGTGACGTCCTTTACCACCATCTCGTATTCACCATGCGGTGCGGCTCTCGGAATATTGAGCTTTTTTTCTACCGAATTAGAAACCAAAAATGTCCCTTCTTGTTATGTCGGTTGCCGAGCCCCCCCTCCACCCCCACCCCCGCGTCAGACGGAGAGCCGAAATGTGAGCACACTTCACCGCGGCTCGATGATAAGCGCCGCGCGATGATCGATGGCTTCCCCCGCGCGATAAATAACGATAAACACGCGGCGCGTTCGCGGGCGGTTCAATTCTCTCGGAGGTCGCCCTGAATAATTCATGTAAATGTTTAAATCGCGAGCAGTTTGTTTTCATTTAAAGGAGCCAAAGGGCCCAATTTAATCCTTTTGCGCTGAGAAAGTAAATAAACGAGCGAGCGAGTGAGCGAGCGAACTGGCGATGAAATAGAAAGCTCCGATCGATGATGGCAACCGCAACAACAACAAAAATATGAACAAAATAAGAAATACGCACGCGCTGGGATATTATGTAACGCTTTTAAACGCGCGTTTTTGCCCTCCGAAGGATTTTATTAGCAGTTCGGAAGCTGTCGGGGCAAAACGCATTTTCACATTTGCAATTAGCATCGTCCGCCTTGAGCTCTGGTTTGTGCGTCACGCTTTGGGTTTCTCTTTCGGGAGAGTCTGCAACAGTAACGCAATGTGTTACCCTTGCGGTCCTGCTCGTACATCGGACCGTGTACATGAACATTTCGCCACGCCGCACATGAGCGTTCTCATACAGCAGGCGTACGGACGTACGGAGCTTTCGCGTGATCATAAAGCGAACGGAATCGCGTGGCCGTAATTATGAATAATTCAACAGGTGATGAATTGAGGCAGGGAGAAGCATGGCAGGAATGCTGTCTCTGCGTGCGTGCGGTGCGTGCGTGTCTTAGCACACGTGCGGCAAAAATCCATCCATCACGGCGGTGGTGGTGGTGGCGGGCGTGTGGGGAGTGGGGGGACAGCACTGCGTGTCTGCAGGATCGGTGGTGGTGGGGGTGGTGGTGGGAAGAAAATAAGAAATGGAACGTGTTTATTAATGGAGTGCAGGTGTGAGCTGTGATGTGGGTTCCGCGTTGTAGGTCAGCACTTGTTTTGATACGGTTTGGGATTTATTATTATTATTTTTAGCGGTGGAGGCTGTGGTTGGCGTTGGCGCGGGTTTTGCCGTGCGGACACAACACGTGCGTCTGTCTGCCGGGCACACAGAGCGCCCGTGGTATTTGTGCGTGGGAAATATGAACGAATTTATTAATTAGCGGTTATGGTAATATAATTAAGTGCGATGAATAATAAGCACATTTTTTATTGTTGCAACCAATTGCTTATTGTTAACGTGTTTTTGTGTAATAATTATAATTAGTTATGGCAGAAAGTAATAATGATTTATAAATGTTTTGACAACATTAACTTCAAATGATAAAAACTATATGCAGCATAAGTATATTTTGTGGGGCTCAAAAGCAAACATTGTTGTTTTCCAGATTTAGGACATTATTATTTTACACGGTAAAAATTCCCCCAATTTTATAGGGAAATTATGTTCTACGGTAAAGATTCCTCAAATCCGATTTGACTGTGAGAAGTTGGAAGGGCAAATCCGTTTGTTATCTGCATTCACCCAGCAGATTTTTGCTTTCTTTTTTTTATCAGCGTGATGATGCGTGCATTAATTTTTCGCCACTTCTGGAACTCTCCTCCTAATCGGCAACGAAATGTTGGGAATAAAATATGAGAAAGTGATGAGCTCTTACGGGAGGGGATGACGCTTCGGTGCCCTGTATCCACGGCTAAGTGTGAACAATGGGAGGAATATTTATCAGCTCGCTGAAATCACTTCGTCTTCTTATTCCTCTTCTTCTTTGGCATGGCATTGTGAAAAGCAACAGATTTATTTTTCTTCTTGGTTCTTTCGGTAAGGTCACGTAGAAGGGAAATAATAAAATACTAAATTTGTTTGTATTATGTTTTATTTTTATTACTTTATTATTTCCCTTCTACGTGACTTTACCGAAAGAACCAAGAAGATGAATCCCTGCAGTCACGAAAGCTTTACATCGAGATTTATTTTTCTTAACGATCGTCACGAACGAATGCAAAGGTTCCTCATCCAGTCCAACGAGGCGGTTGACGCAGTGTGGATTTCAGCAATACCGCCAGGATGTGCATGGATGATGGAGCATTCGTCGGCGATGATGCTTTGTACTTCTCCACAGTCGCATTCTGGCGATTACTTAATTTGGAGCTTTCGTGACTGCAGGAATTACTCTTTGGTTCTTTCGGTAAAGTCACGTATAAAGAGAAAATAATAAATTAAATACTAGCATACGACGTTTCGATTGCAACACAAGCAATCATCATCAGGTATAAATGAAATAGAAACACAAATCTAGTATACTTAGAAATGTAATGTAATACAACAGAGAGTCGGATAACATAACAGTCAACACCCTACCTGGTTGATTACGTTCTTCCTGAGAATGCTACTTATATGTCTGTCTATATGTCTCTGGTTTTGTGTTTTATCTCTATCTCAAATTTAGCATTCTCAGGAAGAACGTAATCAACCAGGTAGGGTGTTGACTGTTATGTTATCCGACTTTCTGTTGTATTACATTACATTTCTAAGTATACTAGATTTGTGTTTCTATTTCATTTATACCTGATGATGATTTCTTGTGTTGCAATCGAAACGTCGTATGCTAGTATTTAATTTATTATTTTATCTTTATACGTGACTTTACTGAAATAACCAAAGAGTAATTCGGGCGATTCTTCGATCTTCCATTGACGGAACGTGCACGGCGCATCCGCCGTGTCGTGTTCGAGCGCGGTTCAGCGTGGCCCACGCTCGTCGCGGAAGAGAGAATCCCGGTGCCTCCACCGTCGAAATCACTTGCGGTGTCTCTTATCCGCCGACGAGCTCTCGGATGACAGGAAGCATCCCCGCGCGGATGATACGACTTTGCGCAGGTCAATTGTGAAGGGAACAGAGAACAGAGGGAATCGAATAAATCGGCGCTTCTTGGATGTCGAGGAGTTTTTACTCCGCTAGTATGGGTTTACGTGCGGGGGAGTCGCGTGTTGGGGTGTGTGTCTGTGTGTGTGTGTGGGGAGCGGTATTGTAGCGGTTCGCGCTACGCTGCGCTACCAACCCGACGAGGCGAGCTCGATTCTCGCTCACGGCCACCAACACCCAGTGACGATTATCTGAAGCGGTCCTGGGCCTCTCCTAGGTCGACTCAGCCACAAATAATTATCTGGTGCGACGTGCAAACATGGCCACTAAGGAGACAAAGGTGGCTGGGCACAGTGTTGGTCACCCACCCCCTCGTGTGCCGTGCCGGCCTTCACAGGTGCTCGCTAACAGCACTTGCCCCGACAGTCTGTTAAAGCTATACGGGGGATCTTTGTGTGTGTGGGAGTGTGCGTGTGTGTGTAGGAGAGACTGTGGAAGTATTTGTGTGTGGGAGAGACTGTGGGAGTATGCAGGTGTGTGTGTGGGAGTGTGTGTCGGAGTGTGGGAGAGTCTTTGGGAGTGTGTGGGAGTGCGTGCGTGTGTGGGAGTGCGTGTGTGAGAATGCGTGCGTGCGTGGGAGTGCGTGCGTGTGTGAGAATGCGTGCGTGCGTGGGAGTGCGTGTGTGGGAGTGCGTGCGTGTGGGAGTGCGTGCGTGTGTGGGAGTGCGTGTGTGCGTGTGTGTGCGTGTGTGGGAGTGCGTGCGTGTGTGGGAGTGCGTGCGTGTGTGGGAGTTCGTGCGTGCGTGGAAGTGCGTGTGTGGGAGTTCGTGCGTGCGTGCGACTGCGTGCGTGCGCGTGTGTGCGTGCATGTGTACGTGCGTGTGTGCGTGGGAGTGTGTGCGTGGGAGTGCGTGCGTGCGTGTCTGTGCGTGGGTGCGTGTGTGCGTGTGTGTAGGAGAGACTTTGGGAGTGTGCGGGCTGGAGACGATGGGAATGAACACGCGTGGGGGGGGGGGGGGGGTGTTGAGGAAGCGTTTTATTAAAAGAGCCGCGAGCAGCAGCAGCAGCAGCGAGTGGAGGTGGCACAGTGAGCGATGGCGACTCGGTGACAGCGCGGCCCGCGGGGCCTGCGGGGCGTGCAGGTGTTTGGAGCGGGCTCAAGTTCGCTGGCGGCGCTGGCGGCGGCGGCGGCGGTGGCGACGGTTTTTTGTTGTTGCAGTTCGCGAGAGGCAGGCCCAGTCATCCCGAGGGAGCGTTGGGGCACGCGGCAGTTGGCTGCGCCGGGCACAAGGCAAAGACTCATAGACTCACACAGAGACCCATAGACTCACACAGAGACCCATAGACTCACACAGAGACCCATAGACTCACACAGAGACCCATAGACTCACACAGAGACCCATAGACTCACACAGAGACCCATAGACTCACACAGAGACCCATAGACTCACACAGAGACCCATAGACTCACACAGAGACTCATAGACTCACACAGAGACCAACAGACTCACACAGAGACACATAGACTCACACAGAGACTCACAGACTCGCACAGAGACCCATAGACTCACACAGAGACACACAGACTCACACATAGACTCACACAGAGACACAGACTCACACAGAGACACAGACTCACAGAGAGACGCATAGACTCACACAGAGACTCACAGACTCGCAGAGACCCATAGACTCACACAGAGACACATAGACTCACACAGAGACACAGACTCACAGAGAGACACATAGACTCACACAGAGACTCACAGACTCACAGAGGGACCACCCCCCCCCCTCCCACCTTCCAATGTAGCTCAAGGGGATCCGTCAACACAATCCAATCCTATTAAACATAACCTGCGAATGAAGCGCGTGCATGGGGGAGCGGTGGCGTAGTGGTTAGCGCTACACTGCGCTACGAACCCGGCCACCCGGGATCGAGTGCCGCTCACAGCCACCAACGCCACTGACGATTATCTGAGCCGGTCTTGGGGCCTTCCCGGGGTCGACTCGGCCTCAAACGAGCATCAGACGAAGGCGGCCGGGCACGGTGGCGACGGCCAATCCACCCCCCTCGTGCGAGCGCCGCGGTCGGGGCTCTCACGGTCACCGCTAGGCTTAACGGCGCTTGCCCCGACCGCCCGTTAGGGGCTACTCGGGGGACCTTTGGCTTTGCCCGCGCGTGTGTCGGTGCGCGTGCCCGAGGGCGTGACGCGCACCTGCGCGCGTGCGACGGCTCACGCCGGGCGTGTTTGTAACCAAAAGCAAAACGCATCGGCGGGCCCACCGCGTTCCGCGACGGTGCGCCGTCTTGAGTGTGCAGGCGGTGCAACTGCACCGGGGCCCAGGGACACGGAGGGCCCCCAGGCGCCAGGCTAAGAGGGGGGGGGAGAGTGGCCGGACAGGGGGCAACCATTGAATTCCTTGCACCCGTGCCCACGTTGACGCCTGCTGTACATTTGGAGTGTCTCTGTCTCTCTCCCGTTGTTCGCGTGGAATTTTCCCTCCACGTTTAGAATCAACGTGTTCAGAGTGTGTGGCTGCTTTACATTGCCACGTGATCACGAGCCACTTTGTTGAGCCTTTATTCGCGATGGCCAGGTCGCTTCAGAAAAAGAGCTGCGTAAGTCAGTGGGCCATTACCTGGTAAAACAAAAAATTGTTTCGATTATAAATCCATAATTCAGAAATCTGCTCACAATCTCAATCGGCATTCATTACCGACCGTCACAGCGAGCCCAACGATTTACGTCTTCCCCTTTTGCGTCACTTCGCACACGCATCCCCGTGAACACCGCAGCCCGATTCGCGAACATCCCCTGAACGCGTAAGGAGGGGGGGGGTCAAGCGACCTCTCGCGCGCGCGAAAAACTCTACTACGGTTTTCCGCGTTCATCTCCGCGCACACCGTGGCGGACGGAGCTGACGTCTCGCTCCCGCAGGCTTCATCGCGGCCGACATCAAGGGCACGGGCTCGTGGACGCAGCTGTTCCTCATCACCGACTACCACGAGAACGGCTCCCTCTACGACTACCTCAAGTGCACCACGCTGGACCCGCGCGCCGTACTCCGGCTCGCCTACTCGGCGGCCGCCGGCCTGTGCCACCTGCACACAGAGATCCACGGCACGCAGGGCAAGCCGGCGATCGCCCACCGAGACCTCAAGAGCAAGAACGTGCTGGTCAAGCGCAACGGCACCTGCTGCATCGCCGACCTCGGCCTCGCGGTCAAGTTCAACAGGTGTGGGGTCTGTGTGTGTGGCGTGTGTGTGTGCGTGTATGGGGTGTGTGTGTATGTGGGGCATGTGTATGTGTGTGCTAGAGGTGCGTACGTGTGGGCCGTGTGTGTGTGTGGGGCCTGTGTGTGTGTGTGTGGTCTGTGTGGGGGGTGTGTGTGTGTGTGGCGTGTGTGTGGCGTGTGTGTGGTGTGTGAGTGGAGTGTGCAGTGTGTGTGTGTGTGTGTGGCCTGTGTGTGGGTTGTGTGTGGTGTGTGTGTGGGACGTACTGTGTGTGTGGCGTGTGTGTGTGTGTTGTGTGTGTGTGGTGTGTGAGTGGAGTGTGCAGTGTGTGTGTGTGTGGGGCCTGTGTGTATGTGTGTGGTCTGTGTGTGTGTGGTGTGTGCAGTGTGTGTGGGGCGGATTGGTGCGTGTAAGTGTGTGGTGTTGGCACAAGCGCAGCGGTGACATCACCGCCACTTAGTAGGGAACGGCGGCTGTTGTTGTTGTTGGCCGTGTCGCGTCGCGTGTGATGTCATCGCACGATGCGATGACATCACACGCGACGCGGGGCATAGCGGCCTTCGCGTACGGCACGAGATCCAACCAAACTTTCAGCGAAGCCCCCTTTCGCTCGACGTATCCGTGTTTGGACGGGGCGAGTGCCCGACAGCCGCACGGCCTCTCCGCTCCAGCGCCGTTCGCGTCGCGTCCCCATCGCATCGCGAGGCGCCAACGCACGCGTCTGTAACGGCGCGTCTTTCTGTCCGTCCCCCGCAGCGACACGAACGAGGTGGACATCCCGCTGAGCGGGCGCGTGGGCACCAAGCGCTACATGCCGCCCGAGCTCCTGGACGAGACCATTAACCGCAAGCACTTCCAGTCGTACATCATGGCCGACATGTACAGCTTCGGACTCATCCTGTGGGAGATCGCACGCCGGTGCATCTCGGGGGGTGCGTACGAGCGCGCACACGTGTGTACACACACACGCGCGTGTACACACACATGCTTGCACACACACGCGTGCACACACACACGCGTGTACACACACAACAACGTTCCCCCGTATAGCCTGTAACAGACTGTAGGGGCAAGTGCTGTTAGTGAGCACCTATGAAGGCCGGAACGGTACACGAGGGGGTGGGTGGCCAGCACCACGCTCGACCGCCTTTGTCTCCCCAGTGGCGATGTTTATACATCACACCGGGTACTCATTTGAGGCTGAGTCGACCTAGGGGAGGTCCAGGACCGGTTCAGATGATCGTCACTGGTGCTGGCCGTGAGCGGGAATCGAACTCGGTTGCCGGGTTCGTAGCGCTGCGCACTAACCACTACTCTACTGCTCCCCAGGTGTACACATACACGCATGTAGACACACAACAACAACCGCCATTCGCCACTAAGTGGCGGTGACGTCACACACGCGTGTACACACACACACCCCATAGCCTGAACAGACTGTTGGGGCAAGTGTTCATAACGGGCAGCACCTACGAAGGCCGGCACAGCACACGAGGGGGTAGGTGGCCAACACCATGCCCAGCCGCCTTTGTCTCCCGAGTACTTATTTGAGGCTGAGTCGACCTATGGGAGGCCTAGAATCGTTTCAGATAATCATCACCGGTGTTGGCCATTAGTGGGAATAGAACTCGAGTGGCTAGGTTCTACACACACACATACGCATGCATGTATGCATAGGGTACATGCACAAAGACAAAGAAAAACAACAATCCCCTGTATAGCATCAATAGACTGTTGGGGCAAGTGCTGTTAGTGAGCACCTGTGAAGGCCGGCACAGTACACGAGGGGGTGGGTGGCCAGCACCATGCCTGACCACCTTTGTCTCCCTAGTGGCGATGTTTTTACACACCGCACCAGGCACTCATTTGAGGCTGAGTCGACCTAGGGAACGCCCATGACCGGTTCAGATAATGGCCACTGGTGTTGGCCGTGAGCCAACACCAGGGTTCATGCACGCACACACATGCACGCACACATACAAAGATAAAGATCCCCCGTATAGCCTTAACAGACTGGAGGGGCAAGTGCTGTTAGCGAGCGCCTATGAAGGCCGGAACGGTACACGAACGAGGGGGTAGGTGGCCAGCACCACGCCCGACCGCCTTTGTCTCCCCAGTGGCGATGTTTACACACCGCACCAGGTACTCATTTAAGGCTGAGTCGACCTAGGGGAGGCCCAGCACCGGTTCAGATAATCGTCACTGGTGTTAGCCATGAGCGGGAATCGAACCCGGGTCGCCAGGTTCATAGTGCAGCGCGCTAACCGCTACACTATCGCTCCACACACACACGCACACACACGTGTGAACACGCTCGCGTTACGCCCGCGTTGTTGACGAGCCCAGGGTGCCACGGCGTGCGCAGGCATCGTGGAGGAGTACCAGGTGCCGTACCACGACACGGTGCCCTCAGACCCCTCGTACGAGGACATGCGCGAGGTCGTCTGCCTCAAGCGCCTGCGGCCGTCCTTCCCCAACCGGTGGAGCTCCGACGAGGTGAGCAACCTCGCCCGCCCGCCGACTCGCTCGCCCGTCGACTCGCTCGCCCGTCGACTTCGCTCGCCCATCGACTCGTTCGCCCGTCGACTCGCTCGCCCGCCCGCCGACTCGCTCGCTCGCTCGCCCGCCCGCCTGTTATCTCGCTTACCCGGCTGTTAATGCGCTCACTTACGCATCACACCATATACTCCTTTGAGACTGAGTCAACCTCGGGGAGGCCCAGGATCGATTCCGATAATTGTCACGGGTGTTGACCGTGAGCGGGAATCGAACTTCGGTCGCCGGGTTCATAGCGCAGCGCATTAACAGCTACACTATCCCTCCTCTACACACACACACAGCTCCAAACACACACACAGATGGCCCCACGCACACACACACAGACAGCCACACACACACACACACAGACAATCACACACACAGACGGCCACACGCACACACACAGACAGCCACACACACACACAGACAGCCATACACACACACACAGCCACACACACACACACAGACAGCCATACACACACAGACAGCCACACGCACACACACAGACAGCCACACGCACACACACAGACAGCCACACGCACACAGACGGCCATACGCACACACATACAGACAGCCACACACACACACAGACGTCCACACGCACACACACACAGACATCCACACGCACACACACACACAGACGGCCACACGCACACACACAGACGGCCACACGCACACACACAGACGGCCACACGCACACACACAGACAGCCACACACACAGACGGCCCCACGCACACACACAGACAGCCACACGCACACACACAGACAGCCACACGCACACACACAGACGGCCACACGCACCCACACACAGACGGCCACACGCACACACACAGACAGCCACACGCACACACACACAGACGGCCACACGCACACACACAGACAGCCACACGCACACACACAGACAGCTCCAAACGCACACACACAGACGGCCCCACGCACACACACAGACAGCCACACAGACGGCCACACGCACACACACACAGACGGCCACACGCACACACACAGACAGCCACACGCACACACACACAGACAGCTCCAAACGCACGCACACAGACGGCCACACGCACACACACAGACGGCCCCACGCACACACACAGACAGCCACACACACAGACGGCCACACGCACACACACAGACAGCCACACACACAGACGGCCACACGCACACACACAGACAGCCACACGCACACACACACAGACGGCCCCACGCACACACACAGACAGCCACATGCACACAGACAGCCACACGCACACAGACAGCCACACGCACACACGCAGACAGCCACACGCACACACACACAGACAGCCATACGCACACACACACAGACAGCCACACACACACGATCAGCCTTCCGACCAAAAAATGTGCCACACATGCCTGCCCGCTGTGTGTTTATCTGGTCAATTGGAACAGTGTTTTAAATTTGTGTTTACTCTAGATCCAAGACATCGCCCGAGCCTTTCTAAAGCGGGCGCTGTGAAACGGCTCAATTATGTACAAATGGCATTCCAAAACAAGCACGGCTGATGTGGTGCAGAGCGCACAGCGAGTGGCCAAATTACGGGAACCTCCAATTAAACCGAGTCGGTGGTTACGGTTGGAAGACACGGGGGGGGTGGGCTAGAACCAGTGGTGGGGGGGGGGTTAGAACCAGTGGGGGGGGGGGGGGGTCGGCAGACTCCTGTTACGTGTGTGGTGTGTGTACGTTCGTGTGTCTGCGAATACGCGTGGATACGTGCCTCTTAGTGCTTGTGTGCGCGTGTGGATGCATGTGTGTGCGTGCGCACGCATTCCTGCTCACGCACGCGTGTGTGTGTGTGTCTCTGTGTGTGTCTCTGTGTGCACGTGCCCTCCAGTGCCTGCGCTCAATGGCCAAGCTGATGTCCGAGTGCTGGGCGCACAACCCGGCGTCGCGTCTCACCGCGCTGCGCGTCAAAAAGACGCTCTACAAAATGTCCGAGTCGCAGGACATCAAGATCTGAACGGAGCCCGGCCGAGGGCGGTGGGACGACGCGGGGGGCACAAAGCCCCCCCCCCCCCCGCGGCCGCTCCCACTGAGACAGACGAGGCCCCGCGGCACCAACGAACGATTCACAAAGCGAGTGGTGCGCGGCCTCGCAAGTCCGCCGGCGGAACGACGATGGACGGAAGGAGAAGGGGAGGGGGGTGAGTTCGGTGTTTTTGAACCACGAACCTGGAAAAAAATAGCAGTCGACCCCCCCCCCCTCCTCTCCCCGACGACCTCGAACGACCCCCCCCATGAACCTAATCCCCCTCGTCCCCGGTGACATCGCGATCCGGGCCCTGACAATTGGGCTCCGCCGTTCTTTTGTTTTTGGAGCGGCCCCGCGAAAAGCCAATGCCGCCGTTCAAGAGGGATGGGGCAGGTGGGTCGCGGCTTCCAGACGGAGCGAGCCGGCGCTAGCGGCCGTCGTCACGTGCGCCGCGGGTGGCGGGGGATGTGGGGTAGAACTTTGTGGCTCTGCGCCTGCGGGGGGGCGGGTGCACGGAGGGACGAGCGATGGTTGGTGGCGAGTGGGAGAGTTCCTGGTGGATTAAAACTGCGGAAGAGAAGAAGAAGAAAAAGCTCAAACGGGCGGCTGAAGCAGCCCGCTCGGTCTGCCGCGGGATTTGTTTTCGCGTGAAGTGAGTCCACGCCGAGAAGTTTCCAACACGGACAAAAGACGCACGATGTTGTACATCGCCGGGGCCTTTCGCCAACATTCGCGTGCGCAGAAATGTTTCGTGTAAAGCGCTTGCGGTGGATCGCGAGGGTTGTGAATATTTCTCGGTTGTGGGTAACGAAAGCTGTTGCAGTAACGGCCCCGTCGCAGGATCCACCTCCCTGCTTCCCCCTTTGCCCAGCGATGGCTTCCTTTAGCCAAACTCTTCCAAGCTCTCTCTCTCTCCATCTCTGACTTTCTCACTGTTATTCCACGTCATTTGGTATACATCTCAAAAGTCAGTTCGGTTACGGTTATAGCAATCTTCCCTTGATTTTTTTTTTGCCCAAAAATGTAATTCCCTTGAAGACTTTTTGACCTCCGTTTTTTTGGTTTTCAAAGCATAACATTTACTTGGCCTGTTATCGTGGCCGAGCCCCCCCCAAAAACAACCTGTCGTGATGTTACAACTCTACAGTCGGACGTGGGGGTCCGTCTGTGGCCGTGACAACGCGCCAGGACAATCGTCGAGGGCAATCGCGGCCGGCACCAGCGACTCGTTTTGCTCCGAGCAACTCTCGTCAACTCGGCGCGACATTGGCAGTGAGCGACGGACTTTGTGTCCAGCCAGCGGAGAGTCAGAGTTTGTATAAAAGTGCGTCCTATGGACAACGATTGGTCGACACAGCACACAACTTCTTGGGCACTCACGTGACCCTCAGTGTTCCGATTCATCCCAGCCACCCATTCGCGAGTTCAACGATCAGATTTGCCCAGATTTGTGCAACTAAATATGTTTAACAATCAATAATAGTTTTAGCAATTATTTAGCCCGGCGGTGGCGGCGGCGGCACACGCTCGTCGCCCGGCCCTGTGGAGGCAGGGAGGGTTTGGTGGATAACGCACCTGTTGCGAGACACCCTTCCCGCGGGCGTCCACCACGCTGCACGCCGTGACTTGCCGGGAGAAGGCGGTGCGGGAGATGCAGACCCGACCTGTTCCGTCTGTCAGGGGTCGAGGGTTTGCGCTTCGCACACGCGCGATGTTTTCCCCGGGTGCTCGAGTTTCCTTTCAAATGCAAACACTCGCTAGTTGGCCAATAGCACCTTCATATGCAGAGGAACGCAGAGCTTTGGCAGGTCGTTGGCGCCGGCTCAACAGGGTGGCTGCCTTCCCGCTCGTCCGCGGGTCCTCCTGGCGCATATCGAGTCGTTCCCTCTCGCTACGAGAGCGAGAAAACGCTGCACGGAGCACTACAATTAGGAAATGGTTATTTTTAAAAAAAATATATATATAAATAAATAAACAAACAATTTTGTACTTTTTTCCCAAGTTTCCTCGCCGAGTCGGGTTCCATCTCCACGCTCTTCTCTCCCCCCACCGCCTTTGACCCATCGTCATCTCCGGAGTAACACCGCCACCAGCCGCGTCATCTCCTGCAGTCCTCCCCCCCCCCCCCCCCCCCTTTCTCTTTAGCGTTGCCTTCCCACGTGCGCATGTTGAACTTCTTTCACACCGTACGTGGCCAACCGTGCTAATCAGGCCACACGTGCCAACAACCACTCAACCTCTCGTTGATGCCGACGCTACTTGCTTTGGCCCGTCGTCTCAGCTTGCCAACGACGATCGCCCCCTGAGCGGGAGCTGCGCTGATTTGGACCGAGAGCTGTTGTCTCATATCCAAGCCCAGACAGAGTCATTGTTGTTGTGCAGCGATCACCACCCCCACCACCACAACGATCACCACCCCCACCACAACGATCACCACCCCCACCACAACGAATCCCCCAGTCTCCCAGTCCTCCTCCTCCCTTCCAGGGCATTGAGGAGCGTCTCTCGTCCACCACACGAAAACATAAATTCAACAAGAAGTGTAAATGTGTTGCTGCGCGATGGATCTTGGAGCATTAAACCCCCCGCTCACCCCCCCCCCCCGCTCACCTCCCCCCTCCCCCGCTCACCCCCCCACTCACCTCCCCCGCTCACCCCCCCGCTTGTACCCCCTCTCCCGCCCCCCCCGCTCCCCCGCCCCGCTCCCCTCCCTCCTTACGAGGTTGGTGGTGCCACTGCTCACAAAGAAAAAAAAATGTTTTGACCTTGTGTTGCAATATTTATTTCACAATATGTAGCCTTAAGTTGCAATTTATTATTATTAATAATGTCATTGTTGTTGTTTCAGTACCGTTTGTTTTTTTACTATTTTTGCAACGTCAGTGTTTGTAAAAAAAACTACTTTTATATACTTTTACGTCTTCATACGCGTTTTACTTTCTCATTTTGTCACGGTCGTGAGTCTTGCGCCCTCTCTGCCTCTCTCTCTCTCTCTCTGTCCGTGGTGTTGCGTCCTGTACATGAGCCAGTTGATTATGCACGCGTCGCGCATACGGGTAATGATTGTACACGTATCCCTACAAACAACAAACAACAACAACCGTTCGCCACTAAGTGGCGGTGACGTCACAACGGCACCTGTGCCAGGCTAGGTGCACTCGTGTCCCGACACATCGCTTACACCACCAGCCTAGGCTGAGAATGGGTCCCAACGTCCATGCAGAAACCCCGACGCTTCCCAGGAATTGTGGTCTGCTCGTAACTAAAATACGAGCAGTGCCCTCTCTGTCTGCCACAAGTAAATCATGACACGAAGTGGAGGAAGGGGGAGGACTGCATTGACAGTGGCATGCAATCACCAAAATAACAATTACAGGTAACCCAAAAGTTGACTTTCAGTTTAACGCGTAGAAGGCTGTCGCGACCAATATCATCCATAATGCAGGGTTTTTTTGGGGGGGTTAGATCGCTTAAATATATAAATGTGCCGTTAAAATGAAACGGGAGGATTTCTCCACAAATCTGGCTGTTGCCTGATGAAGCTAGTTGTAATTGCTGGCGAAACGTCGTACTCGGATTGTAAATGTTGTGGCATGGCTCTCCAACACACCGGTGTGCTGTACTAGTGACGAATTGGCCACGCTCTGTTCACGTGCCAAACCTTACTAGTTGGCTGTGTCGGGTGGAGACAGGTTTTATGTATTTACGCGATCTAACCCAAAACAACTCTATTATGAATGTTATTATTCTTGGGTTTATTCGGTAAAGTCACGTAGGTAAAATGTTTTAATTTAAATTCATTCAAGTAAAATAAAATAACATTTACTTGATACAGCAAGCGTGCTGTGACGGTTCCACCTGAAGACGGAAGCTTGTGTTGCCTCCGAAACGTCGTGATTTTTATTTTATTTTACTTTTATTAATTTTAATTTAATTTTTTTACCTACGTGACTTTACCAAAAAAACCCAACAATATGAATCCTTGCAGTCACGAAAGCTTCAAATCTAGAATTATGAATGTTGACTATCTCTGCGCATGAGCGCCCTCTCTCTCCGTATCGTTCGCCGCTCCGCACTCGTCCAGGGGGTCAGCAACTCCATGCCGACGGGGAACGCAAAACACGTGGGCAAGTCGGCCGATGTCGGCGCGCTGAAGAAAACGATTTGGGCGCAAGGCAGCTGGCCGCATCGTGGCCCTCCTCCCACGCGGCGAGACGGCTCGTTCCGTTGCCGAATTATTTTCGAGCGTGCGTTCGGCATCATCCGTGATGTTATACGTTGTCCGGGGTCAGCCCTCGCCGCTCTCCCACACACCGCACGCTCCGGATGATCGTCAGTCGACGAACTCGCCCACGTTCAGTCGTTGACGACGCCTTCAAAGGGACCGTTGCCCGAATTGTCGGGCTAGTTCCTGTTTTCTTACCTGGCACGCAAATGCAGGATCGTCGTTGAACGAAGCGGGTTTGGGTTTTTTTTATCTTTTCCATACGCACTCCTTTACCAAACTTTGCCAAATTCGAAATTGACGCCGTGAAATGTAATCCGTTGGGGATTATCATCGTCGTGATCGTCTCCTTACTGGCAGGCTGATGCTGCCCCTTTGAGTTCTCAGCTTGGTGAAGGAAAGGAAAGTAAAGTACACTTGAACCCCCAAGTGGCATAGCCTAGTGGTGTAGTTTGGTCCGTATGGGCCCCCCCCCACCCCCCCACCCCCTCTAATTGTAGCCCACAGCTTGCAGCCGCCCCCCACCACCACCTCTGGCCCTTGGGCCCAAACGCAGTTGCACCACCTGTACACTCAACAGCTATGCCACTTGTCATACCATTGCACGTGCAGTACGTTGAACTTCTTTCGCACCGTACGTAGCCAACCGTGCTAATCGGAGGTGCCGGGGAAGGACAACAAACTGAACACAAGAAGCAGTTCAGGTGATGTTTTTGTGAATCTACAACAATGCAGAGCGCAGTTATGCAAACGTGTATGCAACGTTTGGAGTCTGCAAGCATGTTTTGGCACGGTCACTCCCAAACAGGACCGTTTTCCCCAATATCCCCTGACCGTTAGTTTTTAAATTATTTATTCCTTTCCTCTTCTGATGTACTTTTAAAAAAATCCTTTTTATATGCTGCTTATATATAAAAAATGTTTTTCAATTACACGTTCAGTTTGTATAGTTGTTACGATGCATGTGTTACAAATTAAATGCCTATTGCAGTTTTTTTTTTAAGCTGGCTGAACTTCCGTGAACGAGTTGAAAACCACAAGGGAAATTGCATCCTCACATGCACTGCATGGCAGTATAACCTATAAATGTTGAACAATTCTCATAGCTGGTGTTTGGCTGAATTAAGTTAAACCTCGAATTTAACATGAAGTTTTAACTTTTCTAAAACTAAACCATTTTTTTCTTCTATTTTACCAGGTAAAACCCACTGAGCTCTACAGCTCTTTTGCTATCACAAATGATAGCTCAACGCGAAGTGGCTTATCGCGTGGAAATGTACAGCCCAAACGCTCTAAACGCGTGGCGTTTATTCTAAATGTGGAGGGGAAAAACCCAAGCGACCACGGGGAGATCACGCAAACTCCAAATTTACAGCAGCAGGCGTCAGCGTCGGGATCAAACCCACGACCTCCTGCATACCAGGCGAGGTTGTTGAGATGTCGCCACTGGTGAACAGACTGAGACGATGGACTTTCTTCATTTAAGAAGCCGGTTACATCGCAATTTGAGCACCTGAAACGAGGATTTGAATTCAGGATCTGAGCGCTGCTGGCTTAGGAATGTTACCCGTTTCAATCGCAGTTTGAGCACTCGAAACTGGGATTCGAACCTCGGTTTGAGCGAGATGTCTCTGTAACCTCCAAGCCGGGTGGCCACTCGGCACAGAATCAGCCGATAGGTGGCGTCGTAAATAATGTGGCCAACGGTCTGTATCACTCCGAATTTAAACGTCAAAACATTTGTAGGTGACTAATTGCATACGCCACGCGGGTTTCTGGCTTTTCGGATGGTAACCTTGTCAATTGCGTCGTAATTTATTTCATAAGGATGTATTACACCTCGAAGTAAATGTGCATTCATCGTGGAGAGTAAACTAAACATTTGCACAGGGCCAATTCATCATTAACCGACGCGCGTCATCTTGTATTATAAACAATACGATCGGGCAGTAGATTACCAGGATATCATTATTATTATAATTATTGTGTTGAACGTGTTAACGTGTTTATATGTCACTGTGTAAAATAGTACATCTGTCGCCTGTAATGAATGTACATGCATCGTGTTGTTTTTGTATTAATGCAGAGAAGATTGCGTGCCTATATATTATTAAAAACACGTTTTTGTGTAAATATACCGTATTGCAAAAGGGAGTGCTGGAATTTCTCGTGTTTTTTTATTATTATATGCACGTGAGAACAGGGCCTACGTTGTCTGCGGGTGCAGACGTGTTCTCTGAACACGTGACCCGACGCTTGGTTGACCCTGAAGTGACGTAGACATGCGGTCTCCCATCGTAAAGACCCCGTCGAGTTTCGATTTAAAGTTTCGATTTAAAGCTTTCGTGACTGCAGGGATTCATCTTCTTGGTTCTTTTGGTAAAGTCACGTAGAAGAAAAATAATAAAATAATAAAAATAAAACATAATAAAATAATTCTCACGTTTCGGCCACAACGCAAGCAGCCGTCTTCAGGTGGAGAACAGGTCTGTCGAGAAGGCAGAGTCTGAGTGTTTCAATCGGAAAATAAGTATAACCCGTAAAAACAAAGTTTTTCACTCTAAATCCTTTATATGCGTGGCGGCTAGAGTCCTCTCGGCCTCTGGCTTGAGATGGCTGCCACCTATGGGTCAGATGATTGTCTGCCAGTATTAAACAATTGGTAATTAAATATTTAATTTGTTTTCCCTAAACAGTGTAAAATTTTGGAAAAAAAATTTCACGAACATTAATTGTCTCGCACAACGAGCCTGTGTGCAAAATGTCAGCTCGATTGGATCACGGGAAGTGGGTTAAAAAACGACCGAAAGGTTTGCACGGTCGTAAGCAAGCAAGCGAACTTAATATAAAGGATTTAAAAAAACATTCAAATTCAGTCGCGTTGCCCCTTAACAACGTTTATCGGTTTCATTCCCATTCCACGTGTGCTGAGCCCATGTCATTGTCCACAGATGTTTGTAGTCGGGTGGTTTTAAATGTTATTTTACTGGCATCTTCTCGACTCGTCGAATATATGCGGTGATCACCACGGGTTAACAGATACGAGGCTGCGCGTTTACACCGCAGGCAGCAAAGCTAAAGATCCCCCGTGTAGCCTTTAACAGACTGCTGGGGCAAGTGCTGTTAGCGAGGAGCACCTGTGAAGGCTGACACGGCACACGAGGGGGTGGGTGGCCAGCATCACGCCCGGCTGCCTTTGTCGCCCTAGTGTCAATGTTTGCGCACCGCACCAGGTACTCATTTGAGGCTGAGTCGACCTAGGTGAGGTTCAGGGTCTGTTATTGGTCGTGAGCGGGAATCAAACTTTGGTAACACAGTGTTCGTGGCGCATTGCGCTCCCCACTGCACTACGGCTCACCACTACACTAC